ATGGATTCACTCTTCTCGGATTCCCGAAACGCGTTGTACAACTTATGTTGGCGCTTGTTGGTGTCGGGGGAGATCCCCAGAGACAGCCCGCAGTACCATTCCCGAAGGGGCCGAAGGTAACTGAATAACCCATGAGCATGCCAACCTTGGTGCCAGAGAAAGGGGATGCGCTCCAGGTCCATCCGAGAACGTTCCAAAGTGTCCGGGAGCCCAAACAGCCACCCAGACCGCATCAGGTAACAAAGGGCCGTCGCCTTGGCAACATCATCCAACTCAACAAATTCCGAGGCGAACCCGACTTGCGAAAGCTTCGTGGCGACGCGGTAGGAGATCGCGTTCCGCGGCCCTGAGGTCAAGAGCAGGGCGCTGTTGAGGTGCGCCTTCCTCAGTCCCTGCGACGGCGGATATAGTTGCAGCCGAAAGAAAAGTTTGCTCGCGCACATATCTCTAAAAGCAGCGGCCGATTGAGCGATGCCTAGGCCCATGACCCTCGTCTGGTGCACCCCCTCGACGAAGCTGGGAAGCATGGGGGACCAAACCTGCTGGGAACCATCGGGGCCGATCGGGAACCCCAGGGTGGCCGAGGGGAGGACCTGAATCTGGCTGTAGGGGGCACCATACGAGTCGAGTAGGGCACGTAGCGGGGAAGCGCCCAGCGCCCCACGCACCACGACTTGGCACTTGCGAAAGTTCAGCTTGAGATTGGCAATCGGCCGCAGCTCGCCGAGGGAGTCAAGCAGCTCCTTCAGCCCCCGGGTGGCCCTCTCAACTCCAAAGCCAAAATCGTCCGCACAGGCGAGCGCAAGGCCGAAGGGGGGGGCATGCTTGTCACGAATCCAGGCTAGGATCGGGTTCACAGCGAGCACGAACAAAAACATCGAGGCAGGGCACCCCTGTTTCACTCCAGAAGAGATTTTGATACTCATATGCCTTTGCCCACGGAGCGAGATAATTGCAGCGTTGTCGGCGTGCGCCATTCGGAAGAAATTGATGAGACGAGCAGAGATGCCCATTGCCTGCAGGACGAAAAAGAGCCAGGGCTGCGCCAAACTCGGGAAAGCAGAGGCGAAATCGGTGAGGCGCAACGCTGCGCCCTCCCCGGCCTTCGCGCGCCTCTCCACCCCCCAGGCCTCCGCTCTCACCGCGTTCTCTATCATGCCCCTCCCTCCCACGCACTTCTGCTCCTCCCCGATCAAATCAGAAGCATCCGCCGCAATGGGCGCAATGCAGGCAGCGGCCATGATCTTCACATCAGTATTGCCAAGGCAGATCGGTCTCGTGGCCGAAGCAAGGCGATTGAGCGGCTGCCCTGGGAGGTCACCCTGAAGCACTCCCTGCAGCAAGAAGACGAGTAAACTGCTGAGCATGTCGGCAGGGGGGAGGTGATGCGGCCGTTGAAGAGGGTGAGGTAACAGGAGTAGAGGACGCGGGCGGCAAGCGGATGCTTCCGCACAGCATATGGCAGCCCGTCAGGACCAGGGGCGCCCTGCCCTCGCGAGAAAACCAGCCGGCACCAGGACTCGTGGGGCAGACGCCACTCTTGAGCGATGGTACCCCGCAACGTGCGGATGTGATCGGCAATCTCCTGCCACTTGGATCTGTCAATCTCGGGCGCGGCAAATTCCTTCTCCCAAAAGGGCACCGGCGCCTCGGCGGCCCCCGCGTCGGAGGTAGAGCGGTTCCCGCCCCCCAGGGCCGCTTTTCCCAGGGCCGTCCGCCGTCGGAATGTTTGCCGCAGCTGTTTTCGACGTCGAAGACGAGCTTGCATCGATCGTTTGGTCTCCTCGTTGGTTCGAGTGAGCCTAATCGCCTCCTCTTCCCCCTCTAAGACCTGACGGTGAATGCAAAAGATATGCTGCGCGAGCCCTTCGAAGTGGATGCGTCGATCGGGCTCGTCGAAGTGGTGCCGTAAGCGGGGGCAGCAGCCAAGGGAGAGGCGAACGCCCTCCACGCCCCCGCGAAGTACGGCGCGCGCGGCGAAGAGGGCCCAGTAGTGTTGTCTTGCTTCGTGCGGGCAAGCCTCCTGCGGAGCGCATTCCTTGCTGCGCGGCCCGCCTCGAACATCAGCGACATGGCAGCGTCGAGGCGAGCCCGCCCGCCCCAGTCGGGCGGGATGGAGGACGGGGCTCCCCCAAGAGCCAGGGTGAACTCAGGCGTGGCAGCGACCCAGGGCGGGATGCAAGGGTGCCTGGAGTCGGGCGAGAACTTCGTGACAGTCGAACGCACGGGGATGTGGTCACTGCTCATCGCGGCTTTCAAGGCACCGATGGTGGAGGTGGAGTTGGTGCGGTCGCGAAGCAGAGCGGCAAGTAAGGATGTCTAAATGCGGTCAATTCGGGATGTGGAAGCCACGGCCTTGCCTCTTTCCCCCCTTCGGGCATCGGCGGGTTGCAAGATGCTCGTAAAGTGAGGAAAGAGGCGGCGAAAGCTGCGCGAGCGCCCCAGGCCGCCAGCAGAGAGCCCGCCCCCGTCCCCCGCGAGCCCCCCCTCCCCCTCCAAGACAAAGTTCCAGTCCCCCATGAGTAAAATATGAGCTCCTAATTCAGCGCCATCACCTTGGTGCAACAGAACATCGCGCTGTAGCAGAGACAGAACTCCAAAGAAGAGCGCCGAAGAGTCGGACGTATTCGGGAGGTGGGGAATTCCCGTGGCCCCTACTAAGCGCGCGCTTGATCACCCCCCCCCCCCCCCGTGACCAAGGGCGAGTGGGAGATGGGGGAGAAGAGAGCGGAAATAGTAGGGCTGAAGGCGGAGACGACGCCACCTTCACGGGCAGAGCCCCCAAAGAACGAGTACCCGAACTGGAGTCCAGGCAACTGGTGCTGAAGCTCGGTAATATCCCCAACATGTCCGTGTGCTTCCTGTGCGGTAATAATATCGTGTGTGTGGCATAACTTGAAGTATCTGCGATATCGGTCTCGGGCTCACCAAGAGGAAGATCTCACAGCGGCGAACAAGGCTTCGGTGTTCCAGGTGCAGAGGGAGAAGGAGGATGGGGGGCAGGAAGAGGCAGGAGGCAGGGGGGGAACGTGCCCGTGATGGAAAACGGTCCTCTTCGCAGCTAAAAGGGCCGCCGAAGCAAGACGGCCCCTGCGGCTTCGATGGCCTCAATGTGATCGGCAATCCCAAAGTCGAGGAAGGTGTCTCGATCACACCGAATCTCGATATTAGGTTCGCATGAAACAGTGACTTTCACGGCAGAGACTGGCTCGTGAGCACGGCGCATGAAAAATATTGAGCCTCCGAGCCCTGTACTCCCCACTTCGACCCCCTTGGGGGCGAGGAGAACGGTCGAGGCAGAGCGCATTCGGCCTAGGAAAGAAATAGCTGGCGGGAGACAAGGGAGAGGCCACGCCTGAGGCGCAGCGTGAGGGGGGGAGCGCCAGTTGCAGGGTCGGCCACATTCCAAGAGCCGCCTGTCTTGACGAAGTTGTCTAGAAACGTGCCCGCTGCTAACGCAGTCTCGAACATGAGTGTCGCTTTCTTCGTTGATAAGCCAAAACCACGGGCCAGAATGCGAGAGTGGTCCGTCGCAGGCGAAAATGCCTTGATACATGCGTCGCCGATCTCCCGCAGATCTTTGGCAAGCAGTGGGCGAGGAAAGAATAAAAGGACGAGTTTGCATGTGTCCTGCTGGGGCTGGTCAGATGATCCACTCCTCGGGTTCCGACTGGCACTCGAAGCAGCAGACGAAGGGGAGGTAGGTGTGGTGGGCGTAGGGGTCGGAAGAGATTCGCAGAGACGGGCCTCCGAGATCTTCTGCCGTTCCTCAAGGTCCTGGATCTGCTTCTCGATATGCTGGCACTTCTCGTCAAGGGTGGAGGACGGCCCCTCATTGTCGGCATTGCCTCGGGCGCTGATGAACTCGGCGCGGAGGGCGGCCATCTTCGCCTCGAGGTCCTCAGGAATCCTGCTGAACGTCGCGGGAGAGAAGCCTCATCTGGTCGGCAAGCTCCCCGCACTTCTTGATACTATTCTGGACGGCGCCTCGGAGCTCGGAGAGCTCAGAAGTTTTCTGCGGGACATTCACGTTGGCGATGCTGAAGGCTATGGTGTCAAGCTGGGACACTATCTTCGTGTGGTCGTCTCTCTCGGCACGGCGTGCATCGGGGGTCCTGGTGGCACTCCGCCTCGGGCGGTCCGAGGAAGCCGATGACGAACGGCCCTCACCTCGACGGTCAGCGCGCCGCTTCCCCATGGCAGCAGGCTGATCGTGAGGCAGGATCCGTAGACCGCGTGCTCTGGCGCACGACTAGGAACGAGTGTGAGGACTACCCTCAGGACGCTTGGGCCAACCCCTCGGCAGCGTCCAAGCTCGAAGCGCTGGGGCAGCGTTTCGAACTTGAGCCAAAATGGCTTGAGCCAAAATGGCTACGGATCTCAGGGATGCGTAAAGTGGGATGCGTGAAGGGCGGGATGCGTAAAATTCTAGGCGGCTCCAGCGGATTTCAGGGGCTCTGGAGAGCGATGGTCGCCGCGCTCACCTAAAAGCCGTATACCAAACGTCGAGACCACATGCAATGGATGTGGCTAACTTGCTTGCGGTTGTCGGCGTGCCGGGGGGGGCTGCGTTCGAGCGCCAGGGCCAACAAACGTCTAGCAACGAAGAAGTAGTCCTTGAACAGGGTCGGAAGCCGCGACGCTGGAGGCCGCCATTGCTGCAACCGCCGTTCAGCGGCGCGTCGCCTACAAGCAGGGATCACACCTGTATGCACACGATTTCCAACTATTGCATTGTGGCGCCCTCGTATTTTCGGCGGCGACCCTTTGACAACCCATCACCTCCTCTTTCAAAATCGCCTCCCTGACCTGGCTCCAGCCATGGCCACGAGGGTATCCCAAAAGGCACATGAGAAACAAGTACGTCACCAAACACCGATGGAACAGAAAACTTCCCGCCTCCAGGTGCTCCAGGAAATATGTGAGAAACTCACGTGTCAGGCAACCGAGATCCTCAAAACCCTCCCGCCTCTTCCCGCGCCCGCGAAGCCCTCATAGGCCTGCGCGGCGTAGAGCTTTTCCAACTTCTTCTGTGCGCTCTTGGCCAACTCCTGGCCCGCGGCGTCGTGTGTCGGCACGCCGCGCTCGTCGTAGCGGGAGTACTTGCCTAGTGGTGGGGGGACGCCGCGAGAGAAAGGCGAAGAGGGATGAGCAAGTCTAAGACCGCCTCCTCCTCAACCACCACCTCCTCCTCCTCTACCACATTGTTGCTTTCGTCTTGTTCCGATCCTTCGTGCTCCTTCATGTCGCCCCTTTCTCGGAAGACACAAGCGGGGCACAAACAGAAACTGTCGGACGTCCGCGCGGACTTCTTGGGTCCGCGCTGGCACCTCCACGGCGCAGCCCCGCGCGCGGTGAGAAGAATTGTTCGGAAGCCCAACACCGACCCGATGAACCCGCACGGACTTCAAACAAAAACAACTTATCTCTATGAGGCTGCCTGGTCTCGATTCCTACGGGCCGGAATAGCAAATTCGAACTGATGGGGACGACAGATACAGACAATGCTGATTCAAAATTGCTCACATCGACAGAGACGGAAAATGACATTCCTCCTGAACGGACTATGTCTACTGCGACGCCGACATTGGTTCATTATGGATGAAAACGACACTGCTGTCGGGCTTTGTCCCGCTTCTATCCGTCCCAATTCCCACTCGCAAGCGAAAACGAGGTGAACCCTCGGCCTGAGCCTTTCGTACCCTCCGCCCAGCAAGCGCCGCCCGCGGCGGTCGAGTGAAGGGGAGTCGGGAGGCCAGCGAGAAATCCTCAGAAATCTCCAAGGACACACAGGGCACACATCGTTCGGAAGAAGTAGGCGGAAATATTGAGACAGAGAACATGGTTGCGCTAATCTGAAAAAACTCAGGTTGGGCATCAACTGGCATCTCTGTGTTGCTATACTGTTAAGTATGAGCCGCGTCAAAGTCGCAGAGGGGGGGGCTGGGAAGGGGCATGCCACTCCTTGACAAAAACCTCGCCCCGATGTGTGGCCACCGCGATCGCCGCGGCGACCCCCAAATCGAACTGCAGTTTTGATTCGGGGCCAGATATCACGCAACAGTTCAAGTGTGTTAGGTTCGCCCCCCCAACAAAAAAAACTAAAAAAAACACAACAGCCCCTTCGGTTGTGGAAACAACAGAGCGCCTATATTGAATCACTGTGGGGAAGAACATCGCGCATATTGTCCCTGCATCATTGGCTACGCCAGATTACGCATGACATGCGAAAGGCACACACACATCTGACATGGACGTCCCTGAACTCTTTCCGTGCGTCCGTAAATGTTGAGCGCACGGGGGGAACCGCAGAAACGCAGACTCGGCCACGTCCTCGATTCAAGAGTGCACGGAGATCATCGTAGCCTTCGTCCCCAGAGCTGCCACATCCGCCTCCTCCTGCTCCTTCTCCTCCACCTCATCATCATAATACTCTTCACCACCACCGTCATCATCACCACCATCATCGGCATTACCATCCCTCCTTATGTTCCCCCGGATTCTTTCAGGACCCCACTTCCTTTTGACGACGCGTCACGTCGGGTGGGACGATGAGGACGGCCTTATAAGAAGACGTGGGGCTTCCCAGCTGAGTCTGGACGCTGCTCAGAATGTTTTGTTTCAAAGGCTAAACGGTTTTGCCAAGCCCCTGCCTTGTTAGAAGATCGCACCCCTCGCCCTGCCCCCGTCCAGAGATTTTTCAACACCTGTCACTCGATGTTTTATCCTAGTCTGTCTACCTGAGACCAACTCTGGCCACGATGCCCCCCCGATCCAAACAACATGTACTCGATCCGTCCACTCCCCCTGGGACCCGCTGAGCCCCCCCCCCACCCCAAAAACACACACACAAGCACAACCACAAACACAAACATACACACACACACACGTACACATGCACACACACACGCACACACAAACACACGCACACGCGTACGCACACACACACACACACACACACGGACACACACACGCACACACGCGCACACACACATACACATACACACCCATACACACATGTTGGCGGTCGCGGCCTCGCGCGCGCGGAGGAAGTCAAGTACAGCGGCTGCGGTTCCGACACAGACACACACACAAACACACACACACACTATCACTCACACACGCACGCACGTACGCACACATACACGCACACAAACACCCACACACACGCACACACACCCACACACACACGCACACAGACAGACACACACACACAAACACACACACACACCGCACACCCACACACACATACACACACACATTTGGCGTTGCGACCACGCGCGCGGCGGTGCGGCGCCGCCAGTCAGGCCGAGCCGAGCGCTCAGCCAGGCCAGCTCACGCGGCGGGGGGACCAGGGATCTGCCAACGAGGGATCGGCCAGGTCACTCGCGAGGGACGCGAAGGGAGGGATGAGGGGAAGGGGTGAGGGAGGGGGCGGGGGGGTGAGCGGCTGCAAGTGGAAGGGTGCAGCGCATGAAGCAAAATGGGCGCAGTGTGAAACTGCAGGTCACTCCAAACGAGGGGAAGAGCGACAGGCAGGCGGCCCGACCAAGGCAGACTGTGGGGTGGAACAAACGCACAAGGGGTAACAGGGGCGCACGTCCTTCGGACATGGCCTGTGGGGTCACGAAACGCGTGAGGGCTGTGCCGAAATGGGTGCGATGGCGCCGCGCCATGCGAACCTTGCCAGCAGGGCCTTCGGTGGAGCTCCCCGTGGGGCCACGAAGCGTGTGAGGGGTGTGCCGAAATGGGTGCAGTGTTGCCGTGCGAACCTTGCCACTGGGGCCTTCGGTGGAGCTCCCTATGGGGCCACGAACTGTGTGAGGGGTGTGCCGCAATGGGTGCGGTGCCGCCATGCGAACTTTGCCACTGGGGCCATCGGTGGAGCTGCCTATGGTGCCACGGAACGTGCGAGTGGTGCGCCGAAATGGGGCGAAGCCGCCATGCGAACTTCGCCACTGGGGCCTTCGGTGGAGCTCCCCATGGGGCCATGGAACGTGCGAGTGGTGCGCCGAAATGGGGCAAAGTCGCCATGCGAACTTTGCCACTGGGGCCTTCCCTGGAGCTCCCTATGGGGCCACGAAACGTGTGAGGGGTGTGCCACAATGGGTGCGGTGGCGCCTTGCGAACCTTGCCACTGGGGCCATCGGTGGAGCTACCTATGGGGCCACGAAACGTGTGAGGGCTGTGCCGAAATGGGTGCGGGCCGCCATGCGAACTTCGCCACTGGGGCCTTCTGGAGCTCCCCATAGAGCCACGGAATGGGTGCGGGCCGCCTTGCGAACCTTGCCACTGGGGCCTTCGGTGGAGCTCCGTATGGGGCCACGAACTGTGTGAGGGGTGTGCCGAAATGGGGCAAAGCCGCCATGCGAACTTTGTCACTGGGGCCTCCGGTGGAGCTCCCAATGGGGCCACGAAGCGTGTGAGGGGTGCGCCGGAATGGGGCGGGGCCGCCATGCGAACTTTGCCACTGGGGCTTTCGGTGGAGCTCCCCATGGAGCCACGAAACGTGTGAGGTGTGTGCCACAATGGGCGCGGTGACGCCATGCGAACCCTGCCACTGGGGCCATCGGTGGAGCTCCGTATGGAGTCACGAAACGTGTGAGGGGTGCGCCGATGAGAGGCGGGGCCGCCATGCGAACTTCGCCATTGGTTCCTCTGGTGGAGCTCCCCATGGAGACACGAAACGTGTGAGGGGTGTACCGAAACATCTACATGCGGAGGGCAGAGGCAAGGGAGGGAGGCGGGAGGAGGGAGGGGGAAGAGTGGGGGGAGGAGTGAGAACGCGGGGCGCTGTCTCTTCAAAACGAGGACCCAACACCACACGATGGTTGGGACGAACACAAATTTTACCTGAGAGGGGGATCAACTCACATTATCCTTTACAAATGAGAAATCAGCAAAAAGCACAACACCACCAACACCACCAACAGCAACAACAGCAGCAGCAACAATGACAATAATTTCAAGACTGTTCGCTCCTATCTGCTCAGGTGCCATCCAATAATTACGTATGTCCCAAGCCGTCGACACCCGCCCTCGTCGTCTTCGATCGTACTCACTGGGGATATATCGTCCTTGCCTGCCACGTGCATTCAGTGCAGCCTCCAAAACAAGGGAAAAGAGGACGGGTGCAAGGGGGAGGGAGAAGGGTGGAGCACGGGAGAAATTAGCTGGATGGGGGCAAAGAGCAGAAAACAAGTGGTAGAACCAGACGGGCAGATCGGGTGGGCAGACCCTTACGGGTGGGTCGGGAAGGCGGGCCCAGGCGACCAGGTCGAGCAGGCGGGTTGCTGAAGCGTGGGTCCTGCATGAATCGCGAGAATGTCTCGAGCGATAGCGCGATTCCAGAATTCGCTGGCCCAACGGGCCAGAGGCGTGCTAAGATCTCCGGTAACTACTTAACAATATTTCTAGTTCGCGCGCGCGGGGCGGCCCCTGGGGGGCCCCGGACGAAAGGTACCCCGGCCGATCCCCGGCTGACCCCCGGGCGATCCCCAGGGGGGAGGCTACTTTTCGCCACCCCTCACGAGGATCGTGGCCTCCGAGGGGGGGGGCTGCCAACGACTACCCTCCCTCCCGCCCCAAGGGGCCCCCAAGAGCCCCCCAAGAGGCCCCAGGGAAGCCCAATTCGCCGCCAAGGAGCCCCAAGACGCTCCCAAGAAGCCCCCAAGAAGCCCCCAAGACGGCCCCAAGAGGCTCCAAAATAGCGCTCCATGGCCGGCGGAATGTGCGAAGCGATTGAATTAATCGTGAGAAAGGCTAAGGAGAGAGCGTGATTCCTGAACGCCGAGGGTGCATCGTCTGAATAAATTGCGAGGAAGTCCCACGCGAGAGCGCGAATCCTGCATACATTGTGAGGAAGTGCCGCGCGAGAGCACAATTCCTCAACAAATTCGGAGGACGTATCAGGCGGGAGCTCGTTGTTTTCTTGTGAACCAGGGGCCAACAATGTAACAAAACAATTCTGAGACTCGAGACTTTCCCTGATAAAAAGCAGCGTGTGAAACCCGGGACGGGCACTTCAATTGAGAAACGCAATGTGCCCCAGAGGGGGGGATCAACAACAAATAATTCTTTAGAACTGACAACGACATCATCAACAACAGCACCAATCCGCACCGCAGAAGCCCACTCACCCAGGGACAGTGAATGACCATTGGGCCCGCTTGCTCTGATATTGTCGACCCCACTCGCCTGTTAAGCCCTGATTTGGCTCAATCCCCACAGGGGTCTCCGCTGGCGGGGGGCGGGGCTCGCGGCGCTGCCGTCGTACTCGCTGGTCTTGAACAGGCGGTCTGGGGCGACCAGCGCGGCAGCAGCGCGCTGCGCCTTGATCGCCTGGCGTCGTCGCTGCCCTGCCCTCCTTGCTGATGCTCTGATGCTTCTCGTTTTCCTCCTCCCCTTTACTCCTCGCCATCGTTGCCTTCGCCGCCCCCCGTTGTCGCACACGTGCCTGCTCTTCCTCCGCGTTCCCCCCCTGCCTTCCTCCTGACGCACGTGGGTCCCAGATAGGCGACATGATGGGTCCACTGGATTGATGTACGCAACCGCTTCATGGGAGATTGGCAGTTCAGTGCGGTAGCTTGGAAAATAGGGGTTGAAGGGTGAGAGGTCAGAGAAAGAGGGAGGGTCTCCAACGCGCCGAGCGCCCTCTTTCTTCGAAGGGAAGGCCCCCTACGGAGTGCCACAACCATGGTGTTCGCCGCCTGCCTTGCGGTTGCGGCGATGGCCGCCGCGCTGCGCTGGGGCGCTGGCGCTGCCGCCTCCGCTGGGATGCCTACGCCGCTGGGCCCCCCCCCCCCGCGGCCGGCGCCACCCCAGCGCCTGACCCCCGGCCGCCGCCCGCCGCCGCTGCGCGGGCCGCCACTGGACCCCGGGCGTACTAAGCGCCCGCTCTGGACGCCGCGTCCCTCTTGGCGTGGGACTACAACCACGGAGAGGGACTACACGCATGATGACGTTGATCATCTAGCCGCTGCGGCCTTCACGAGGCTCGATGACGCGGTCTCTCTGGTGGCCGCGCCAGAGAACCTGAAGGGGCCGACAACTGCTGAACTCGTTCGGGGAGTCGAGGAGGCGCCGGAATCCCGCGGGGAGCATCATCGCCGCCAGAGGCAGCGCCGCAGCCCCCCGTGGCGACCCCGCCGCCGGGGGCCACCTACGAGTTCTACGTGGGCTACGAGTACTACTACGAGAGCGAGCCGGCGACCCCCGCGCCGCGGATCGAGGTCCGTCGTGACGGAAGCCTGGCCGACCTCATCATCGAGGAAGGAGAGGACGACGCCGAGGAGGACGACGGGAAGGAGGAAAGCTTCGAGGAGATGGGGGAGCTGCCTGGCGCAGGCCCCCTCACCCTGGCGCCCGCTGCCGCCAGGTGGCCCGCCTGGGGAGCCGCCGCCCCGCCGCCTGCGCCTGCCGCCGCCGCCGCCTAGGCCTGGTGGACGCCCGCCTCGCCGTGGGCCCGCCTGGGCCGCGCTGCAACCGCCGCCAACACGACGGCAGGCCTCCTTGGGACCCCCCTTCGCCAGGCCTGGACCATCGCGTTCGGGGAGTACGCTCGGATCATCTGGTCCGCGGTCCTGCCTACCCTGGGATGCCTGTGCCTCGCGATCGGGGGTCGGGGGGGTCGGCATCTTTCGATTGCGATCGACACGCTGATCTTCGTCCCACTCTGGGCCCGCGCTGGATGTTGTTGCTGCTGCCGTCGCCCGGGTCCCCTGGGCCCGCCGCCGCCCCCGCCGCCGGAGCTGGCTGGCCCTGGGACCCCGCGGCCTGTGAACAACGCGAGATACAGCGAGATGCGGGCCCGCGGTCCCAACGGCCACCCGCAGCACCTCGTCTTCGCTGTGGAGGGTCAGGCGGCCAGGGTCAGCAGAGGATTGCGAGCAGGGCCACAAGCAAGGGTACTGGACCTCATTTACGACTACGAGACGGTCTGGGTGTCCACTTCGGGGCGCTTACGCCGGAACCTGGAAGACGCCCCGACGAAGTAGCTGCACTTGTGCCGCGAATCGCACCACGAAGCGTGCGACAGGTGTGCCACCATGGGCGCGGTGGGCGCATGCGAGCGCTGGCATCTGAGCCTCCGGTGGAGCTCCGTGTGGGGCCACAAAACGTGTGATGGGTGTGCCACAATCGGTGCGGTGGTCGCATGCGAGCGCTGGCATCTGGGCATTCGGTGGAGTCTCCTCATTGGGCCACGAAGCGTGCGAGGGTTGTGCCAGGCCACGGTGTGCCAAAAACGACAAGGTGGGCGCATGCGAACGATGGCATCTGGGTTTGCGGTGGAGCTCCCCATGGGCCCACGAAACTTGTGAGAGGTGTGCTAAAATGGGTGCGGTGGGCGCATGCGAGCGCTGGCATCTGGGTCTGCGGTGGAGCTCCTCATGGGGCCTCGAAGCGTGCGAGGGGTGTGCCACAATGGGTGCGGTGGGCGCCTGCGAGCGCTGGCATCTGGGCCCTCTGTGGAGATCCCTATAGGGGCCACGAAGCGTGCGAGAGGTGAACCAAAATGGGCGCGGCGGGCGCGTGCAAGATCTCGCATTTGAGCCTTCGGTTGGGCCCCATGTGGGCCAGGGAAGCTTGCAAGGGGTGTGCCAAAATGGGTTCGGTCGGCGCATGCGAGCGCTGGCATCTAGGGGGTGTGTCGAAATGAGGCGGGGCCGCCATGTGAACCCTGCCACTGTGGCCCTCGGTGGAGCCCCCTTTATGGGGCCACGCAACGTGTGAGGGGTGTGCCAACATGGGCGCGGTGGGCGCGTGCGAGCGCTGGCGTACTCCGATGGAACTCCCTATGGGGCCACGAAACGTATGAAAGGGTGTGCCAAATGAATGCGGTGGGCGCATGCGAACGCTGGCATCTTGGCTTTCGGTGTTCCCTACGGCCCCACGGAACGTGTGAGAGGTGTGCCACAATGGGTGCGGTGGGCGCATGCGAACGCTGGCATGTGGTTCTGCGGTGGAGTCTCCTCAGTGGGCCACGAAGCGTGTGAGGGGTGTGCCACAATGGGCGTGGTGGGCGCATGCGAGCGCTGGCATAACCGCATGCCGATGATAATAAAGGAACCCCCCCTTCAGTGTTTAGAGTTGATTATCGTCGCCCTATACAAAATTCAAATTGGGCGGCGAGCGCTGAGGCCGAACTTCATTATCACCTCGAAACGCTATGTTGAGATAGCAACATCAAGCGATGTTGCTATCCCCGCGCGCGCCTGAACTTTTTTTATCTCTGGGGTTGATTATCCATGGAAAGGGGAGCACATGAGCTACCCTACATGAGCACTTAAAACAACAATTTTCATAAAGCGCTTGTAAATTAAAATTGATAGACTTGGAACTTTCCATTGTTCCGTTCCTCTTCTCTTCTTCGTCTTCTCTTCTTCTTCTCTTCTTATTATTATTCTACTTTCCTCTTCTTCTTTTATATTTCTATCTGTCCTCACGCTCGCCTGAATTTGTTTATCCCTGGGGTTGATTATCCATGGAAAATGAAGCACATGAGCTACCCTACACGAGCACTTAAAACAAACCAATGTTCATAAAGCGTTTGTGATTTAAAATTGATAGATTTGGAACTTTGGATGTTTCCTTTCGTCGTCCTCTTCTTATTCTCCTCTTCTTCTTTCTTATTATTATTCTACTGTATTCTTCTTCTTTTATATTTCTCTCTGTCCCCACGCTCGCCTGAACTTTTTTATCTCTGGGGTTGATTATCCATTGAAATTGAATCACATGAGCTACCCTACACGAGCACTTACAAAAAACAATTTTCATAAAGCGCTTGTAAATAAAATCTAATAGATTTGAAACTCGAGATTTTTTCTCCTCTTCGGCCCTTTCCTCCTCCTATCATTTCTTTTTTTTTATTATTTATTCTTTTTATTTTTCTTTTTTATATATAGCTTCCTCCATTCCAGCGAGATAAGCCATTGTTGAGGATATTTCTATGAAAACTAAACGCCAAGGATGTCTCAAAACGTGCTCGGCTTGGTCTCCTCTTGATCATCTCTTACTTCGAGATTATGCTGAGGTCTGCTGGGCTACGTTTACTATCTCTCCCTGAACCCCGAACTTTATTATCCCCTAGTGTTTATTCTCACGGGCATGAGGTTATGGGTCTGCGGTGGAGTCTCCACATTGGGCCACGAAACGTGTAAGGGGTGTGCCACAAGCGTGTGCGCGGTGTGCCAACATGGGTGCGGTGGGTGCATGCGAGCGCCGGCATGTGGGCCCTCGGTGGAGCCTCCCATTTGGGGGGCACGAAACGTGTGAGGAGTGTGCCAGAATGGGTGCGGTGGGCGCGTGCCACCGCTGGCATCTGGGCCTTCGGTGGAGCTCCCCATGGGGCCACGAAGCGCGTGAAAGGCGTGCCGAAATGGGTGCGGTGGGCGCTTGCGAGAGATGGTATCTGGGCCTTCTGTGGAGCTCCACGTGGGGCCACGAAGCGCGTGAAGAGCGCGCCAAACAACGACAAGGTGGGCGCGCGCGAACACTGGCATCTGGGCCTTCGGTGGAGCTCCCTATGGCGCCGCGAAGCGTGTGAGCAGTGTGCCAACATTGGTGGGGCCTCCTCATGGGGGGGCACGAAACGTGTGAGGAGTGTGCCAACATGGGCACGGTGGGCGCGTGCCAGCGCTGGCATCTGGGCCTTCGGCGGAGTTCCCTGATGGGGCCACGCAACGTGTGAGGAGCGTGCCGAAATGGACTTGGTGGGCGGATGCGAGCGCCGGCATCTGGGCCCTCGGTGGAGCACCCTCACGGGGCCGCGGAACGTGCCAAGGGCGCGCCATACTGAAGGGAACGACTGGAAGAGGGAGGACAGAGGAGGGGGAGGCGGGACGCGGGGCGCTGTCTCTTCAATGCGAGGACCCAACGCCACAGGATGGTTTGGGGGGGAAACGCGCGGCGGCGGTTGCGATGGCAGCTCGGCGTCGACAGGTGCGTCGCCCCGTCCGCGCCAGCGGGCGCGGGCTCACGCGCCGAGCGGCGCGACCGACGCGGCCGCGGAGGCGCCGTCCGCGGGCGGCTTCCCGGCGCGCATCGCAGGGCGCGCAGAAGCGCGGGCACTTCAGCTCAAGTCCGCGGTTCGGGCGGGCGCGGCGTCGCTGCAATCCCGGCAACGGCGGACGCGACGACATGGCCGCGATGTTTGCGGCGATGCTCACGATGGCGACGGCGAGGCCACGGCGGCGCCGATGCCGATCGCGACAGCGACGATCGTGGCGCCCATGCGTCGGAGAGGAAGGTTTTGGCAGGATGTCGACTCGCGCGCGCGAGTGGCCCGCGCTGCTTTATTTGACGGGGGTCGCCCCCCCCCCCCCCCCCCCCCTCAGCAAGCG